ATTCAAAATAAAGATTACAAATTAAATTTGATGTCCCTGTAATGGTGGCATTCAATGGTGGAAATAGTAGAGGTAATATTCCACTACTCATGTCACTGCTGCAACTACAAGATAAAATAGTAATATAATACTGTGCATGTTTGACAGCCCTCCATACTTTATTGCATATAGAGACCRCTGCCGCTCTTCACTCTCAGGAGGAACTGTGGCCTGGTTCATATGAGCTCCAAGTGCAGGTGATGGATGCTCAGGGTCTGTCCTGCTCAGCCAATGAGGTTTTTACAGTGGATGTTTGTACCTGTGTGGAAACAGAGACCTGCAGCTTAAAGTCAGTCAGACTAGTAGCAACTTCAACAGAGCTTTCTGCCCCAGCCATCGCCTTGCTGCTGATGGCAATGTGTTTACTGTTGCGTAAGTAGTTTGACTTTTTCACCCACCTCACAATGTGAACCAATCTTTTAAATGTATTCACCTGCAGATTGTAGCTGCAGATTTTCTCAAAAAAAAAAAAGGTACAGTCCCCTCAAAAACTCTTGGAACATTCTATTTGGATTGGATTGTTATACCCTGAAGACATTTGCATTTCAGATCAAATTGTATTTCCTGGTATTTGCATCTAGACTAAAAAGCTTTTTTTAATTTTGAACTTTTGTCTAATGTTCATCTTAATTCAATTCCAATTGCTGTCAGTGTACAAAAGGAACTACACTTTCTATTCCCAAGATTTTCAAAGCAAGTTTATGCTGCATAACCATCTAGACTGTGGCACTAGAGAGTCAAGCACAAATATAGAGGGGAAGAGGGTTCAACCAGCTACTGAAATACATTTCCTGAATAATATTTATTACAGTTTTAATTCAGTGTGGAATAATATCATTTAGTTTATCCATAATGCTTAAATGTGATGCTATTTTCTTAAGTGTACTTAATGACTAGAGATTAAACAGTTGTGTATAGCATAACTGGGTTAATCAGCAAAGTATACTCAAAAATGGGCACAAAATGTTAGTAATGGTGTTACTTTCTACTGAATTATATGAAGAATCATTGCAGTGCTATGCATTTCTCCCTTTCTGAAACCTCTGACTAAATACATTTAATATCAGTAGTTTATCAAAGGGAGGATTTACTTGTATCCCTGCTATGTGAAATTACAATAACATGTTCTGTTAGTCAAAACTTACATTTTGCTCTTGTATTGCTTTCACTTTTGACAATATTTGACACAGCCTTTGAGCTTCACTTCACTTTAACTCACTTCACATTGTTCTGAATCTTTTACTTTTCTCTACAGTCATTCCTCTTCTGTTGTTGCTCTGTCAGTGTGGGGGAGAAGACATTATATTTCCTGTCAACTTTAATGATCTTCCATTTGATGCCAGAGAACACCTAATATCCTACCACACTGAAGGCAGAGGCGAGGATAAGGTGGAGTGACATTTTACATAACAAATGGATTCCTTAGTCTCAGATACAAATCCTTTTTTCAAATTTTAAAGTCAAATTCATACTGTGGGTCAATATATAATGTTATATTTCCTCTGTGTTTTAGGAAGTGACACTCCAAAGTTTTCCTATTATGTTGGGTACGCAAAAAAAAGTCAAAACAGCAATAACACCAAACTTTAACCGACAACGAACTTCAACAGCATTCCCTAACTTTGGAACTCATCAGGCAGCAACATTCTGTAATGAGTCTGTACAAAGGTTTCAAGAAAGTAGCTTAAGATTAATAGAAGTCAACAACGTGTACAGGGAATCATTCAACAAGGGCGGTGGTGAAGTTGTGCAGTTCAGCAGGCCAAGACTTATGATCCAAAACACAACAGTTCTGTCTGAGGATATTGCACTATCTGACACTTTCCTCAATGACTACTACTCACAGGTATTATGTTAGCTTTGTATTCAGCTATTTTTTCAACAGTTTTTCTATATTGAAGCGTATGTGCATGGTTTATTGACATTTTTCTTTTGTCTATGATATTTTTTTGCCCTGAATAGAAAGTGATGGTTGCTCTGCCAGTGAAGGATGGTCTGTTGGGGTATGAATATGAAGGCCAGGGTTCTTCTACTGGCTCAGGGGGCTGCTGCAGCCTCCTTGAGTCTGACAATGATCTACAGTTCCTGAATGACTTGGAGCCAAAGTTCAAGACTCTTGCTGACATCTGTTCCCCTGCTACCACAAAACCCTCTCTGACATGCAAAGGAGCAGATACGGTCCAAAATACTATTGATACTGCTGAACAAGTTATTAAGCCCCAATTTGAGCACATTGTTGACACAAAGCAAGCCAATACAGAGACAGACAAAGTACTGTCATCTCGTAACATCTCCAAATCGTCTGTCAACAAAATAAGTACTGAGCTACCATCTCCTCACACTAAGGTAACTAAGATCAGTCATTCCTCTAATATCAGATATTCTGCTACCCTGCCTTGTCCTGTTCAGACAACTGTTCAACATCAGCAGCCAGTTTACTACACCACCAACCCTGTGCCACAACCCATCCACTATTTAGTTCAACCACCAATTGTTTTAGCAGATAGAGCCCATGGAACAAGTTTTCCTGGCCTGTATATAGTCACTGAATCTAAGACGCCTGGACTCACAGTGAGTGGACCCCAAGGCTTTACTTCAGGGCTAATTATCCATGGGATTGAAAGCCCCAAAAGCCCTGCCAGCCCTACCAATCCAGTCAACCCCACCCAGTTGCTACCTGGTATCTCAAGTGTCTCCCAGGGATCAGTCCATGTGGAGGATTGGATAGTAATGGGGCTAAATCCTGATGGCAATTATATGTTAGTTAAAGAGGGAGGTAGTCAAGGTGAGACAGAGGGAATAGACCCAGGCTCATCTCAGGGCACTTTGTTCAGAGATGCTATCCTGGTAAAAGAGGCTGCTCCCTCTCAGGGGGTGTTAGGCCCAGCAGCCCAGAGGAGTGTGTATGGTATTCTGCCAGGACATAATGTTACCAAAAAGGGGGGTATTGATGCAGTTTATAAAACTTTGGGGCAAACACAGGATGGGGAGCCAGAGAAGACAGGGTTAGGGCCACCTACTGTTTTTGGGGTTGGTGTTGGGCAGGCAAGAATGGGAGTGGGACATGTGGTAGCAGTGAAGCCAGAAGTGAGAGTGGTTGAAATATGGCCAGCTGCAGGTACAGTGGGTATTAAGCAGATCAGTATAAACTATTTCCAAATAATTAATTCACTTGAGCAAACAAGGGATGCCAATGGTGTTCTAAAAGCTAGATCTAGTAGGTTAGATTCACAAAAGGCTTAAGTCATTATTAAAATGTGTTTAAGGACAAAAATGATGCAGCCCAAATGGCAGTAGATGCTCCTAGTGAGTTGTTCCAAGTTGAAATGATAAACAAGGAGGGTATCCAACACAAGCATCAGAAAAGTCTTCATTTGTAAATCTTGAGAAAGCCATTGTGAAATCATTGGCAGGGCCACATGTGCAACATTATTTATTTAAGCAGTCTGGCAGCACAGTGAAACCAGGTATAAGGACTGAAATTCTGCCCAGTCAACTGCATAAGATCCCTGATGGGCCTTCAAACCAACTTAATAATGTGATGATTGGTAACAGAACTCAGTAATCTCCACAATCAGAACGGGAGGATCATTTCACCGAAGGTTTTTCTGAGAGTGTTACATCTATTGTCACTTAATTTTTTTTCAGATGTTGATTTAGTTCATATAGACAAAGCAAATGAGGAAAATTCAAAGTGTACACATGAAGAGGACGCCACATCTACTGCAGACCACCTCAAGATTGTAGGTTAACAAAGACATGATATCAGAGCAGAAAATGTGGGCAGATGAGAAGCATCACCTTTGACAGAAGAAGATATCTGTTCAGCTTAGGCTTAGAATAGTGGAAGGTCCAGAAGACAGAAATTCTAAGGTAGTGCAGGACCTGAATATAATAAATTCACAGAGGATCAAAGTGAAAGGGAGCAGGAGGTAGATGACAGTACAGCAGAGAATGCAGGAATTTTGTATTTTATCCATGCAAAAGAATATGGTTGAAATTACTCCTGGCATTAGAGTTTCCCATAATGTTAAATATCGAAGGGGTATCCCGGAGTTGAACTCATACATTTTACACCTAGTAATCACAAGAGTTTATTAAAATTCGATCTTATTTTGCTCATAATCAGGCTGAAGAGATGGTTTTCCTTGAAAACATTATATGCAAGGCTTCTGTGAAGACCATCATCTAATATAGTGATGATAAACTCTGGATGTGTTAATTCACCTCAACAGATGAGAGTGGTCAGGCATTCAGGTCTTTGCATCAGATGCTTGCTTTGTGTTGCAGTGCTGATACTGTGACACATAAAAAGCAAATGGTGGAGAGTGAAGATGGCCTGTGTCACCAACACTGAAAATATTGACACCCTCAGACATAGGTGTTATCCTGACATCTTGATCATGCCAAATTTAACTACACTGATCTGAAATAACAGAAGTGATTGTGTTGAAATAAGATAGAGTTTTATTCCCTGTGATGAAAAAATAAGGTAGAGTTTTATTCCCTGTGATGAAAAGCGCAAGTGTCATCATTCTATCTCCATGGATTGGCACGTCCTAGCTTGAGAGTCCCTTTTTTGTTGGGTCAAAGGCCTTTACAGACTCAGTTTCTGGGAAGAAATCCAGTACTGAAACTGATGCTAGTCAACTTCACCAATCACAGTTATATCAAAATAGCCCCATGAGGCCTCTTCCATTTAATTCCACAAAATAGCAGATGCAAAGTAGTAGAAGCCTGAACACTGTTCAAATGCTCTGTTTCTAATTGCTATTAACAAACCACTTTTGGATGGGTATTTTTCTCAATGGTGGACTTAACAAAATGAGACCAATTCCAAACCTGGACTGTTATTTCTCAGTCTTTTTTATTGTGGGTGTGTATATYTTTACAATACAGTGACTCCATATAACAGGGGCCATTGTTGCAACTTTATGCTGACACATAAAAAAGTGTAACTATACAAGTATAGAGACGTCCTTAAATAAAATAACAATTAAATTATATGAGTCTTTAAAATTTGATTATACTTGCCAATGATATTCTGGTCATACCTGAATTGAAAGAGAATTGAGGATTTGTTTCTGCTTTAAAAATGTAAAAGCCCAATCAGATAATTCCACACATATTGGTGATGACTGTAGGTTATAGATGGAATTATATTTGTTTTGTGTGTTTGTCATTGCAYAATAATTCAAATGTACTGCTTTCATGGTTTGGACTTTTCTTACTAGACAAAGCATGTTTTAAACATAATATCTGGTTCATGAACATACATGTCTGCAGCTGCATGTCAGGGGGATATGATCATCATTACGTATATCACTGATTATTGTGTCATTATGTTATTTTTAAAATCATAAATAAAGTTGTTACACTGTATACTATGTGTTGTATACAGTATGTGTGTTCTTTAGATTTTTTATACAAAGTTTTTTGTGTGGTTGGAGAAGAGTCAGCATAAAGCATTTTGAGTTCACTAAAGTCATCAATCATAGGACAAGGTAAACTAAACTTGAGTTAAATATTGTCAGGCCAATTGTATGTATATAGTGGCTGCTAGCAACAGCCTTTATCTCATTTCAATTTTATATAGAGTAGATCTTGACAATAATTTTCATTGTATTATTTACATTATTTATTATTCCCAGAGCTAGAACTTGGTGGCATTGGTGGGGAAACATTTCCATGGTACAGACCAGGTGAACCAGGAGGATCCTCTCCAGGGTCTTCATCAGGTGAGAGGTGAGGGCCACCGGCCTGAAGTGGTTGGGCTCACTGGGGTTTGCGGTCTTGGGCACTGGAACCACACAGGAGGTCTTCCACAGGGTGGGCACTCTCTCTAGATGGAGGCTCAGGTTGTAGATGTACTGGATGATGTTGCACAGCTCATCAGCACAATCCTTGAGCAGATGCCATCAGGACCGGCAGCCTTCCTCGCTTTGGTCTGTCTTAGCTGCCTCCTCACCTGGTCAGTTGTGATGATGATAGGTGATGTGGGTGAAGGGCTGGGGGTCAGCTCCAGAGGAGGGGGAGGAGGGACGGAGGCAGGAGTGTCTCCTGGTGGTGTCGAGGAGTAGGRGGTGGAAGCCAGCAGGCTTGATATAGTCCGTAACACACTGGATAATTCCATTAATGTCCTCCCCGTGGGGGCTGAGTAACACTTCCCAGTCTGTGTACTCAAAACAGTCCTTCAGCGCCAGGCTGGCCTCCTCAGACCATTTCCTCACATACATCTTGGTGTAGAGAAGCTYGCAAGTTGCCGCAGCATCGGCTGACGGTGGATGTAAACAGCAATCACGATGACTTGTGAGAACTCCMGTGGCAGATAGTATGGCTGGATGTTCACGGCCATCAGTTCAATGTCCTGTGTGCAACAGCATTCCTTCACACTGACGTGCCTTGGGTTGCACCACCTGGTGTTCACATTAAGCACGATCCCTCCTCCTTTCTTCTTACCGCTGTTAAGAACCGGGCTTGGACACAGAGGCAGAGGCTGAGTCAGGTTTCAAGTAACTGAGGTTTATTGGAAAAGTACAATAGCTTAAGCAGGCAGGCAGGCAGGCAGGCAGGCAGACAGGCAGGCAGACAGGCAGACAGACAGACAGGCAGGCAGGCAGACAGGCAGGGCTCTGGAACTGGAGTCGGGGCTGTAATCCAGCTGCTGGTCCTTTGCAGGAATACAGGAAGGGTTAAGATGCAGGATCAACAGGACGTACACAGAATCTAATAGTTTTGAATAGCAGCAGCTATCACTAACTTAACCTGAGTCTATAGTCCGGCGCAGACTGAGAGCAGTAGTTGAGCTTATATAGGCAGCTGGTCAATCAAGGCCCCAACTCCAGCACACCAGGTTCACATRAGTAATCAGCCMYGCACCTACACACCAATAGAGAGATAGAGAGAGGGAGAGAGAGAGCCTAGTAGGCAGGTGAGGAGGAGGGCATGACAACCGCTGTCCGCTGCACTGTGGTTCGCTCTCAGCAGATGAAAGCCAGTCAGATTGACGGCGGAATCTGGAGTCAGCTTGTTCAGCCATGTCTCTGTGAAGCACAGGAGACTGCTCTCCCGGTATGGTCTCTGCAGCCWGGTCAGCACAGTCAGCTTGTCCATCTTATTAGGAAGCGATCTAACGTTTCCCATGACAACAGAAGGTACACAGGGCTTGTACCTCCTCTTGCTTTCCTGTCACTTGACTCTGGCTATGCAGCCCCGTCTCCTTCTCCTGTTGTCAGCAGGKACCATCACTCTCTCCTCGGGGAGCATCTCTTTGTTCATCAGGGCCATCAGCTGATCCAGAGTGTAAACAATGGGACTGYGGCTGAGCTTCTCTCCGCTGGTCATGTTTACAGTTAGAAAGTTGTGAAAAAACTACTTAAAGGTGCTGAGTATGTGTTAACACCTGCACGCTGATTTTTGTCTGGTAAAACTTCAGAATTTACCAAAACACAGGCACATACAAAGAGTAACTGCAACAGGCTGCTGGTCCCATCCGGCACCACTCCTTCCCACCATGTTGTGCATGGTTSAAAAGCAAACTTTGTATCCAATTCTTCTGAGTTTGCATGCAGGTGATGTCTAGAAACGGCTTTAAAAATAATAATAAGCATAATTTAGGCATAAGTAACATTAAATATTAGTGTTAAGAGTTAAGAGAGAGTGTTTGCTTACCAAATTCAAACTTGGACCTGTTATAAGAGAGGGGCCTGGTAGTTGAGGTTTCCACTGATACCTGACGCTGAGAGATTCTAGGAAACACAGGTRAATTTATTTCTGGGATTGTAATGTTCTTGTGGGAATATACTGTTGGGACSTGACCTTTATCCAATCTCCACAACCTTTTTGGGACCTACTATTTGTGAACCATAGTTGGGCCTACATGTGTAGCCGAAAGCCTGACCGCACGTCTCCTTTGCTCTGAAAACAAAGGAGAGCTTCCAGAACTCAGTCTTCCAGGGTGCTTCATCTTCACACATACAGTAGCTGGTAAAACTGCTCCTGGAAACAACTCTCAACCACTATTGGTCACTKTGTGCCCCATGACCCATGAGGTCACAAGGCCAATAAAAGCAGCGTTCCCCCTCTCCTCTCTCTCTTTCTTACTTACCGCTCCTGGAGGAGTAGGTACTGCTCCTACTCTCCCAGCCAGGGAGACCACCTCC